AAAAATGTCATTGATCTTACGTTTAAATAACCCCAGAGACTCTGTGTTCCTTATATCGCGTGGTAAACTGTTCCATAATGTGGCGCCATTGTAGCTAAAGCTTTTTCTGTAATAATTAGTGCGCGGTAGTGGAACATTAAGCTTATTTTCAGAGTCCCTGAGGTCATAAGCAGAGTCACGCCACGTAAACTTTGAATATAGATACCTTGGAGCTAGCCCGTGCAGACATCTAAACATCATGGTGGCTTTATGGATTTCCTGCTGGCGTGCAAGATTTTTCCACCCTAAAAACTCGAGTAGCTCAGTTGCATCAGCATCATAGTTAGAGAATGTCAACACACGGGCTGCTCTATTCTGCAATTTCTGCAGTTTGTCTCGTAGCGTTTTCCCACAGCTACCCCAAACAATGTCACAGTAATCAAAGTGAGGTTTTACTAAAGCTTGGTAGATGAGATGTAAGGTTGATGCTGGGATCAGGTGCCTAATTCGCTTTAGGGCCCCGATACCAGAGGCGATCTTTTTCGTTAGTTTTTCGATGTGACTATGCCAATCGAGTTTATCGTCTATTATTACACCAAGCGATTTTGTAGCTGTAACCTGGCTCACTTGAGTATTGTTCATTCTAATTGTTGGTGAAGCTGTGAGAGTATTCAGTCTCTGCCTCGACCCTATTAGCATGAATTCGGTTTTAGTCATGTTCAATGTGAGTTTGTTCGCTTGTAGCCAGTTGAAGACGTTTTCTAGGTCTTCATTTATACAAAACTGAACGTTCTCAAGATTGCTTCCCGCATATGTGAATCCCGTGGCGGGTCGTAACTTAAACGAGTTAGCCTTAAACTGGTTAGCTTGACTCTCTTTTCCTGGTGAGCAATACCGGTTAGCAAATTACTTCTGATTGAAACCCGACAACGTGTAAAACAGCATAAAGTCTAGTAATCTCAAATGTCAATCAATGTCCTTAATCTTTAACTAAATCGATGTTTGTAATCATGAGTTCGTTTCCGGCTCCGTCAACGAAACATCCTCTGCCCCGATAAGGGCGTAGTCCTTATCACCTAATCCGCTTTAGTCGTATCTCTCTGCCGGGTAGATAACTGCAATCTTTGTCACAGGACGGCTGTAAACTCCCTTGGCCGTTTTTACCTTTACGTTATGTACTTTCCCGTCAGGTCCTGGAAATACAGCCACAATCCTGCTCATGGTCCATGAGCCACGAGCAGCATTCTCATCTGTCAGCGTCACGAAATCATCAATTCCGACGTTTCCTCATTCTATGCGCCACTTTCTCCTGGGGAAAAGTGTGGGAAACACATCTCTCTTCCATCGTTTCCAGAAGGACTCAACTATTCTTTGGACGAATTCCACTCTATGCCTGGGATTTTTTGTTTGTTTGAAGGGCCTTTGTGGTACTTGTGATGTCACCCGTCCTAACAGGATGTCATTAGGGCAAATGTAGGCCCCGCCATCTGGATCATTGGGAATTCTTCCGATCGGGCGTTGGTTAATCAAATTCGCGATCTTGAGCAGACACGTGTACAATTCTAATGGCGCCAAAACTTTCTCTCCAACTGCCCCTTTGAGAGCTCCTTTACACGTCTTGACGAGTGCTTCAGCGCATCCATTCTCATGCGGTGATGCTGGGGTTGTGAATTTCCATTCCATACCCTTTTCTGCACAGAACTCGCGCAGCTGATTGTCGTCAAAACCCTTAATTATTTCTCGCAGTTCCCTGGCGGCTCCAACCGTCTGAGATCCGTTGTCGCTCCTCACTAGGGCTGGATAGCCACGAATGGAGAAGAACCTTCTTAAGACTTGCATAAATTCCATAGTGGAACAGTCTACTGCTATTCCGAGATGAACCGCTCGGGTATTTAACCATGTGAAAATCACTCCGTAGTGCTTTGCGGTCTTGTTTCGTCCGACCTTGACCTTAAATAGATAGTCCAAGATAGTCGCATGCTGTGTAGTGAAATGGTGGGGTTAAAGGTCCCAAATGAGCCGTGGGTAGATCTGCCATCTGTTGAGTTTAAACTCTTCGTACCATTTCTCGGCGAAATGCGCACTTGAGTTTGACGGACTTGGCGAATTTGCTGGCCTTTAGTATCCAGTATCTTGCTCTGATCTTGGCAGTCGTGCTCGCCACTCCACCGTGTCCACATTGGTGCATGTGTCTTGTTATCAGCAATGAAATACTGGGGCCGTAGGGCAGAAGTGCAGGGTGTCTTGAGTCATATGACACTACAACGTTGTCGACTCTACCTCCAACTCTGATGACTCCTTTGTTGTCGACGAAAGGGCTGAGAGCGTCAAATTCTTTCTTCTGCATTCTACGGTATGGGCTCTTCTGTGCCTCTTTAAGCCATAAGGTTTCAGCCTCTTGTAGTTCACTGAGAGTAGGGGGACCATCTTGCCGTTGTCCTCCACTGTGTTTTGCTCGAATCCTCCGAGCCAGTCTTTGGATAAATGCAGTTACTCTGATCAGTCTTCTCCACTTAGAAAATCTTTGGGGGTTAATTGCTTCCTCACTCTTGGGAGTGGTCACTGTACCAACAATCTTCTCATGGCGATATTCCATCTCCTCTTCCTTTGAAATTGCTGGAGCTATTTCCCGAGGCCATTCTGATTCGGGTAGTCGGAGAAACTCTGGTCCATCTTTGTCGGAGAAACTCTTGGAACATCTCTTGTTTAAATCCTGTCAGGTATTCCCCTCGAAACGTCATCTGCTACATTTATTTCTCCTGGAATGTGTCGCTGCATTGGGTTAGAGTTACTTTTATCTCGCCGACTCTTGGGGGTACAAACGGTTTAAAGCTTCCAGACTTACTGCGAATCCATGCTAGCACAATTGTGCTATCCGTGAGGAACAGGACCTCAGTAAATTTAATTCTCGATCCTTCTTGAATTGTCTTCGCTAGACGAGATGCAAGCACCGACGCTTGAAGCTATAGGGGTGGGATGGTTAATTTTTTAAATGGCGCCACTATGGACTTGGCCGCTATGAGCTTACCTTCATGCTTGTTAGTCTTTTGCCGGATGTAGACGCAAGACCCGAAGGCCTCTCGTGATGCGTCAGAGAAAATGCACAGTGTTGCCTCCTCATTGGCTCCGATGGTAAGCCGACCTCTCGGGAAGGACACTTCATTAAGTTCAATCATCTCCTGGAAGAATCTTGTCCAATGGTCTTGAATTGCGGGTTGGAGCTCTTAGTCCCAATCGATTCCCAGCTGCCATAGGTGCTGGATCCCAATCTTTGCTCTGATGAGAAATACAGAAGCTAGCCTGAGCGACTTTACTCAGTACTCAGTTTTTACCCAGACTTTACTCAGTTGTGTGCCAACTTTATTGACTTCGAGACGGCATTTGATAGCATTCACCGAGTTTCCCTGTGGAAGATATTACGTCACTATGGAGTTCCATCAAAGTTGGTGAGTGTCATTAAGATGCTTTACAGCGACTTCAAGTCCCAGGTTATTTGTAACACAACACTTACAGACACCTTTAGCGTGACCACGGGTGTGAAGCAGGAGTGTATTCTCTCTCCCTTTCTGTTTGTCCTGGGGATCGACTGGGTTTTGAAACAAGTGACTTGTGTTGGAAGAAGAGGGATGAGATGGACATTGACCAGGGATGAGATGGAAGACCTTGATTATGCGGATGATATTGCGCTGCTCGCACACCGGTACCAGGACATCCAGGCAAAGACCAGTGTCTTGGCAACTACAGCAGATTGTTTAGGCCATAAGATCAACATTAAAAAGACAAGACACTTAAGGATGAACAGGAGAACCAACGAACCCATCGTGGTTAATGGGTAAGTGGTAGATGAGGTTCTTCACTTTACCTACTTGGAATCAAAGGTGTCCACAAGTGGAGATGGAGAAGAAGAGATCCTAGTCCGTATCTCAAAGGAAAGTCAGGCCTTCGCCGCGCTTCAGAGTACTTGGAGATCCAAGAATATCTGCCAGAAGACAAAGATCCGATTCTTCAAAAGCAATGTCCTAAGCACCCTGCTGTATGGCGCAGAATCCTGGAAGATGACCGAAACCATCAGTCACAAGCTTGAAGTCTTCCAGAACAGCTGCCTGCGCAATATTCTACGTATATACTGGCCACAGACAATCTCAAACTATGAGCTGCGCAGAAGAACTGGAACAGAACTGATTAAACAGCAAGTCCAGCGAAGGAGATGGAGATGGATTGGGCATGTGCTGCGCATGCCTTCAGCAGCTTTACCACGAGTTGCCCTCAGATGGACCCCTGACGGTCGTAGGAAGAGGGGCAGGCCGAGAGAAACATGGAGGAGGACAGTGGAGAAAGAGATGAAGGAAAACAGCTGGACATGGGGTCACCTGGAACGAAAAGCACCCGACAGAAGCCAATGGCGCTCTTTGGCCGAGGCCTTATGTGTTTCACAACACGAAGAGGATTAAGTAAGTAAGTTACTCAGTATCATCTGCTTGGTCAACGTGGCCGCGCTTTGATCTGTGACGTCTGATACCTTTATCAAGTCTGGCCTGACTTTAAAACAAAGCTCGTCAGTTCCGTGGTTCCATACAACTCCTAAAACCTTGTCTACGTCTGATCCTCCTTTGAATACCTTCGTTACATCTGAAATCTCCTCTTCGTCTCCTTTTGACACATCTCTGTTTGAAATCGAACCTTTAACACTGAACCCTCTTTTAGCCAGCACGCTATCAATATCTTTACTTAGCCTTTGCGCTTTTTCAACAGTGTCAACAGAGTCACAAATATCCAGATAGACATTGTTAGTTAGAACCTTGGCCGCGTCTGGGTTTGTGGCTTGACTTTCTTGCGCCGTTTTCCGAAGAGCAATCTGCGCCATTGTCGGGGTTAGCTTATCGCTAAACGTCAACACTCTCTTGACATACACGTCTGGAATGCAGTCAGTGTCTAAATTCCTTCACACTGAAACGGTGAACGTGTTGATCATGGGGTGGTATCAAGACGCGGTGATACATCCTGGAAATATCACCAACCAAGGCTACCTCTCTCTCTCTAAAACGCAAAACAACTCGAAAGAGATTGTTAAGCATGTCTGGACCTTTCATCCAGTAGTCGTTGAGCTGGTGACCTTGAAACATACACGGTGAATTAAACACTATCCTGACAGGTGTACTCTTCTTCTCAGGCCTAACGACTGCATGATGAGGTATATAATGAACTGGGCCCTGGTAACTTTCATCTTCCTTTGTCAACTTTCTGCAAAATTTCATCTCCAGCATCTCCTTCATCTGTGCGTCGTAGGCTTCGGCGTGATCTGGACAGGATTTAAGCCGGCGTTCAGTTGATACCAATCGATTCAGTGCCAAGCACTTGTTGTCTGGAAGGAGGTTTGGATCCCCTCTCCACGGATACGGTATCATCCATTGGTTACCGACTTTCTGACATGAGTTTCCGATTATTTTTAACTCTTCCCGTTCCACTTGAGTAAGCTTATCAGCTTCGCATCCGCAAGGTTTAATAGCGACGCCCCTAGTCTCGGTATTCCAGAAGTCTGTCAGATCAACAAGCATCCCAAACTTTACATGAAGAATGCGACTGGTTTTTAGCATTTCTCCTGATGGACCACCAAAGACCACCCCTCCCACTGATGTGCGCCTTGCTACCAGCTGTCCAGCCTGCTTACTTTCGCCGTTGCGCATGTGGGCGTGGTCTATTCCAATCAAAAGGTCAACTTGCCCTTTCCCTCTACGAAGTTTCTCATTTTTAAGTCCCAAGAGTTCAGTAATTTGAGACATATGAACAGCCGTAACTTCTTCACTGATGCTAGGGATCCCGATAGCTTTTATGGAGTATCTTCTACCGTAATCCAAAGATTATGTTGGCACGCGGTACACCTTAGAATGCATGAATTCCTCATCACCACTGACCTTCGTTATGGTTACAGAAGTATCCTTTCCCTTGAGCCCAAGCGTCAATGTCGTATCGTTCCTAATCAAGCTTACTTGGGCTCCTGTGTCGAACAGGACATTCGCACGTTTCTGAATGCCATCTTGGCCATGGATATTTGCGGTGATAATTGGCAGAAGTGCGCTTCTGGTTTACGTTGTAGCTGCAATTGTGATTCTGATGGCTTTACTCTTGTGAAGGAGAATGTGATGAAACTGGTTACACTGCGCTCCGTTCTCCTCTATAGTACATTGCTGTCTTCGAGTGCAGTTTGCTACTCTGTGATCCCGTCCGGCTCTCTTTAAACAGCTAAAACATACATGATTCACTCTGGCCCTTGTCAGTCGATCATCAATACTGAGAGCAGCAAATTTAGGGCACTGGTCCGGCCAATGAGTGGAGTTCCTGCATAGCCAGTATCTGTGATTGGTCTGCTTCGTGTTTTCTTCACCTTGAGTCTTAAGATAGTTGACTTTGCGCGACTGTTTCAACTTGGGGGCGGTAGCACGCATGCGTGATTTCATCTCCACTGACATCCATTCCATTAACCCTTTCAGCGAGGCTGACTTTCCTTCTCGTTCAAGATCCCTCGACCACACCTTTCTATCGTCTGCGCACATTTTCTGCTCTATAATCGATAACATGTGGCTGTTATCCTTATCACAAGGGACTCCGACTTCTTTAAGCGTATTATAACAACGCCTCACCAGATGGACAATATCGCAGAATCGTGCATCCTCGCCATGCTGCACTGCGCAAAACTGAACAATTTCCTGCGTCACAGTGTCTGATATGAAGCGTGGATCTCCATAAATAGAATCCAGGTAATCCCAGGCCGCGTCATAGTCAGAGCCAATCCCTTTGATAAGATCTAGAGGCTGTCCATGAAGACAAGCGCGCAAAAACGTGATTGAATTCCGTCAACGAAACACCCTCACCAAACCATTCCTTAAAAATTCTACAAAGTCGAATTACGACCGTTCAAAGACTATAATCCGTAAAACAACCAAAAACTACTCTCATACTTTACGATCAGGCATGCGAACGACTCAAAATCTGAGTTTCCGTGTTTTATAACCTACCGCGTGTCATACGTTATTCAGCTATCACAGGCAGGTAACGCAATCTCGATCGCAAAGATACGAAGACTCGAAGAAAAACATCCACCTCCAATGGAAAGCCTATTTTATGATATAAAGGATAAACAACAAAATTAAAGACCTATAGGGGTAAGGCATATTTTCAGTGTTCAATTATACGTAGGTAATGTGTGGCTTTATAAAGCAACAACGCTGATAATATAGGTCTGCAAATTGTTTGAAGAAGCGAATCGTCTTGCACACGTTTGATAGTAGTTTTTGGTTGTTTTATGAATTATAGTCTTTGAACGGTCGTAATTCGACTTTGCAGAATTTTTACAGAATGGTTTGGTGGGGGTCTTAGTTTTCGTAATTACGAAAACTAAGAGGGGTCTTAGTTTTCGAAATTACGAAAAGACCCTTAAATTTACCATTAAATTTCACCCAAAACTCGGTGGAAAGGATCGGACAGGAGATGATTTGACAATTTAGACTTGTTTTGGTTACAATTTGACTTTATATTTCCTCGGATCGATTTTAGGGGGTCCTAGTTTTGGTAATCCCGAAAACTAAGACGGGTCTTAGGTCTTAGTTTTCGAGGGTCATGTTGCCCGAAAAATAAGTCAAGTCACTCAAAGAAAAAATTACTCAAAAGATCAGACTTAGACTGTAAATAGGCAAAAATCCTTATCAAAAAAGTGCTCTTTGTTTCCGACACCATGGGGGTTCTAAACTCGTTCGTTTCTAAGAACAAAAGGAAACGTTGTTCGCTTTTATCAATAAAATGACGCGTTGTTTGCTTGGTATTTACTTGTTTCGTACCCATGGACGTTTCGCAAGCTTGACATAGATACGTTTTCCGGTCCCTCTGATATCCGTAGTACATATGTTAATACTACTACCCTATGAACGAGTTTAAATGCGAATTGTTTTGGATTGACTCCACACTTGCTAGAAATACACGGCAGTGTGCACTGCTATACCTGACTTCGGCTAGGTAAGGATTTCGGGAATAAAAGAAATCCAAAACTGTTTCTGTCAAAACCCTGCCTAAAACTAAGGTTTCTTTTCTCCTTGCTTTGTTAGAGAAAACAATTATTCTAGGTTTAGGCACACTTTCAGTTGCCTTCTGTCAAAACCATGGCCTATTATTCGGGCGAATTTATATTAGCTAGTGGTTTTAACCACATATTCTTCAAGTTGTCCAATGCCAAAAACGTACACCCAACACTAGCCATTCCCTCCTCCATCCCACCCGTAAACTGTAAGTCCTTGCGAGATTCTATTTCCTTCCAGGGGCAAGAAGTATAATCGGGTTAATTGGACAATCTCGGCACTTAAAAATTACAAAGGATTGCAACCTGCACAAGTCGCTTATTGAAGGTGCCACAAATACCATTTTAATTCCGGTAGAACCTTTCAATGAATTTCCATCTTCTTTAAAGTACAACTTTGTTACACAATAAGGCACGTCACATTACAAGAGGCAACTGGAAGTAACATGAGAAACTACTAAAAAATTTCATGAAAACTTTACATAATTGTCTTTGCACGAGATATTTTAAAGAGGTGACACCTAGTACAAGTGTATCACTGACACTACGTCTTGCGCATGTTGTAGCTGTGTCGTCTCATCCAAGTATAGCAGTACGTGTTCGGCTGTTTTTTAGCGACATCTGTACTGAACAGAATCTCCACTGCCGACTCGTTGTCTTTTACGAGACTGTAGTGAGTCAAAAAAGTTTCTGATGTCCTCCTCTTTCACAACCTACCGATACAAAGAAGAGAAACAAGCTTTAATACAGTTTTCACCTTTACGTGGCATAAAGCACCCTCGCAAAGCCAAGCTCTCGAGAGACGTGTGAAGGAGAAGAGCTTGCCTCGACGCACGAGCAAGCATCCCATCTAATTGAAATTACAACAAACATTTTATTTCCCTTGAATCAATATTCTTGTGACAAAGTTGACATTTTTGTTTTTACAAATTGCGTAGACCGACGGTTAGTTCAAAATGCTGCGGCCCTTATAACAAGATACGAAGATCGCCTTTGTTACAAAAATGCTGCAATACTTGTTACAAAATTCTTAAGTTATTTCAAAATGACGCAGAACAATCCTCACTATAACCGTTCAGTTTCAATGAAGTCTATCTCAAAAGCCATCAGCTTCGTTTTAGTAGTATGTCTTCGAGTACGCAAGGAAAAAAGGTCTATCTCAAAAGCCATCAGCTTCGTTTTAGTAGTATGTCTTCGTATACGTTAGGAAAAAAAGTATCAGAATTACTTCTCTCCATATGGGTTACCTTTCCTTGTTCAACGAACCCTTTAAGATACTCTGTCAGCTCGTTTTTCATATCATTGTAACCTGTAAACAGACAAACCAAAGTAAGTGAGTACAAGGGGCACAGGTTTTTAAGAATGTTGGGTCAACTATCTACGATGAATGTCAACAGCAAAGGGCGGCATCACTTTTCTAGTAAAATCCTGCGTTAACGATCTTCCATTATCTTGGTGACTGGAGGATGGGGGCGATCTTGCCAACTTTTTGGCCAATCACGTTTTACAAATTGGGTCAGTGGTAAAACGTAATGTTTCACCTAGACAATCGTGAATGTTTGAAGCGAGCGAAAACGCAGCTGGGATGTTCAAAGTACAGTCGACCCTGTACTAAACGTCACCGTCTTCGGCGGTCACCGCGCATTAAGCAGTTGGTTGTCAAAGTCCCGAATACGTTTCCCCATAATCACTGTAATTTTCACCTCTATTCAGCGGTCAATTGAGTGGTCGCCGTCACCTTCGAGTGAGTCCCAACGGCCTGTTTATATTGCCCTCCACCTGTATTTGGTGATTCCTCAGTATTACACTGTGCTGCGCATAAAAATCACGTAATCTTGCGAATAAGCGCGCGTGCACCGAGAACACGGTATTGTTTTTCAATAACGGGACCAGGTAAAGAGGTATGATGGTCTTTAACTCTTGAACGAGCACGGTGACCTATATTGTTTGTGTAATTTTAGTGTACAAATTTAAAATTAGAAAAAATTAATCGAAGGGAAAAAAAGATTTAGGTAAAAGTGTGCACAAAGCTCGTTACCCGATTATACAAATTAGGACCTTGAAAGCAATGACTCATGGAACATTTTGAGTCGATGTCAATTCAAATTGCGTGATTTTTCCAAAAACAATACCTCAAATTGTTCCATACTCGCGAGACTTTCTACCTATCAAGTTTTTTTTCAAGTGTTTCTTTAAAAACTCTGGCCTCCAGTTACCTCAAAATGTACCGTGAACCTACCACAATCAACGTGAGTAGCATTTTTGACGAGTTTAAAGGTCAATTATGGCATAAAATGGCGTTTTATCGTTTTTTATATCACGCCTATTCTTTGGAACTTGTGGGTGACCCCTAAATAAAGGTTTGACCGCAAGTCGTAGTAAATTAAACAGCGACAACCCATACACTTATTGAACTCATGGAACTATAGTCTATAGTCTAAAGTGGTTATTGTAATTAATTTTAATTTTGGTTTTACGACACTCAATCCAATAGTTTTGCATGGAGTACAATATTACTGGTAAAACATCATATTGTTCAACCCCTTAATTTCAATGCATGATAAGTTTTATCCACTCACCATGCATGACCTCCACTTGAGGAATACGCGCCATGTTCTGTAGCGCCTGCATGCCACTCTCATATGATGAAACGCTGGATGTCTTCTCCCTGCCCCTCTTCTCATAGGCAACCATAGTGTCAGATTCATCAGTCAGATACAACACATCCAGTGATCTGTATAGAGACTGCAAGGGAAATTGTCACTTTCTGATTTGCCAAAATCACTATTTTCAAAACCTTAGCAGGATATACGTAAAAATGTAAATTGTGACAGCTTGGCTATAGAATTAATTAATTCAAAAACATTCTTACAATACAGTTTTCACACTTGCATAAGTTAGACCGCCACCCAGTATGCCAATAGGTTGCTTTGTTTTCGACTGTTGTCACACTTGCTTGAAGCTGAACAAGCTTGCAATCTGCCAGAGAGTTTTCAAGCTTTGAGGCATTACAATCATTTGCAGCGGATTTTGTCTCTTTTCCAACAGTTGTTTTCCAACAGTCTGATTTGCCAGAACAAATTGGCTTTTGAGAATCAGAGTGAGGTGTTTCAGTCGACTCCTACAACAAGAATTAATCATTCAACACTGAGTTATCTTCATTATTTAAACCTAACATGATGATACTCTAGAAAAGTTAACTCAAGTATGTATATGCAGTTAATTTTACCGTAACAAACACCTCTACCGAAAAAAGGACACCTAACCTCCCCAAAAAGAACACTTCCAAACTAACAGCCATTCGAAATATTAATAAATACACACACACACACACACACACGCACACACACACACACACACACACACACTTCATTGCAACTCCCTACAAAGGGTTTTTCATATAAAAGGCTACATAAATGTTACACTAAAAATTAATAACTAAATAAATAAACAAAAAACAAAGGTACTAAATACGCAATAGAAATTAGTGAAATACTTTAAGAGAAAAAAATACAATGGATTGAATTTATTATTTACAAATTCATAGACTAATCAGAAAAAAGTAGGTTAACAATCGTTTGTTTAAAAACAGAGTACGAAGATTCAAGCTCGTCTCTTAGATTATTCCAGAGCCTAGCACCACTGTAGGTTAAAGACCAGTGTCTGGTGGTTCAACGGCACCTCTGAATGTTCAGTTAATTGGCCGCATTGTCTAGTGCTTCTGGTATGAATTTGTGAGTGCAGAATAAATTTCTCCATTAAGTAGTCTGGGATGAATTTATTAACACATTTAAACATCATTACAGCATCATTCAAGTAAAGTCTGTCATTAACAGGCAGCCAAATTAGGGATTTGATACCTTGTGAAATGTGATCAAATTTTTTGAAGCCAAGTATAATATGAGCAGCGAAGTTCTGCACTAACTGAACTTTCTTGATGTTGTGTTTACTAGTATTTGACCAAACGGTTGAGCAGTAATTATATAACTTACTGAAAACAAAAGAATTCATAAGGAGAAGTATTGTTTTCTTATTTAGCAGGTGTTTAATTCTATTTATTTGTGTAAGTTTGTGTAAGCAGGTAGAGACTGTTTTAGTCATGTGATCACTACAAGTTAGTAACTGGTCAATGTAAACGCCAAGATCCTTAGCAACAGTAACAGGTGTTCTTTTCCACGCATCCAAACAGATACTGCGGTAAGTTTGTTGAGGAGTTGAGGCACACCAATCATTAGAACTTTAGTTTAATCAAGGTTTATCAATAAAGAATTTTGACAACACCATCTAAATGCAGACAGTGCAGGTCTGCAGGTCTGCATTAAGATTGTCAATTGCCATGGATATGTTAGATGAAGGAAAGGACAAGCACAGTTTAGAATCATCAACCTAACAGGCCAATTTGCAGTGAGTAGGGACAGACAACAGGTCATTACAGAAATAGTCAACAGGACTGGGCCCAATATCTATCCCTGAGGGACTCCATATCTCAGAAGAAATGTATTATTTATTCCCCAACCCCTCCAAAGAAAGAAATGTCTAAAGAATTCCTTCACCAAAATCTTCTCCTGGTCTGGAGAATATGAAGCACCATTCTTACGTATGTTCTCAGTGGAATCATAGTTTTATTATGATAATGGTAGTATAGGAAAATGCTAGTCCTTTTAGCACATCAACAAGTTAGATAAATGGTTACATGTCACTTTGTATATAACTTTACTTGTGACTAGACAGTGTACAATGTTAGCTGATAATATTTTCTGCAGTTCAGAATAACTGTCCCTTGATGTAAAATCAAAGGCAAATTACAGCAAAAGGTGATTTTCAAGCATAGCAAACTTAACAACAACTGATTCTAATAGTTCAAAATAAGAGTTGCTTTTCCTTCCATCTGATTGTTGGTGACCCACACAAAATGGAGAAACAGAAGGGAGATGAGTTTTACTACACATTAAAAAGTGACAGTATAACCCAGAGCCTTTTGTCTGTGCCACTGATCGAATTGTGGCTCTATTAATTAGAATGGGGTAAGTAACACTATATCGACAACATTTGCAATTATAAGTGTTGGAGAAAAAAAAAGTGTCAGTCATATTCCCTGAAAATATACTGCAATCAAATGGCTGCCATTATCATAACATTAGGTCTTATTGGTTATTGTCAAAAATTACTACCCAATTTGAAGATGGTTTAATGTGGAAGTTGCACTTTGAATTTTAGCCCAAACCTCAAACATGAACAGGGTTTTTATATATAATACAATACTTAGTGTAATCAGGATAAACTCTCTTACTGGTCTGAAGCAATCCTGTTGGTCACTTCCTTCACCACTGCACTTAGAATCATGATATCCTTTCTCACTCACCGATGCATTTCCTCCATCTAGGTCATTTGTCTTTTCAATATCAAGTTTACTCTCTGTTTCCTGTTTAATATCCACTTGTTGATTGGGGTCAATTGAAGACTTCTGTTGTGGCACTATCATATTAACAGGAAGTTTAGAGACACTACTCAACATTATGTCCATAATAACTCACTGATCTGTGCAAACCAGTTATTGTCAGACTCATTGTCTCTCACTGAGAAGTGAGTGTTGAAGCTTTAAACTGAAAGGCATTTTAATCACTTCTAACCTTTAATCACTTCTAAGCCAGAAAAATAAAACAGGAAAAATAATAATTGGTTACAATTCACCTGAGAGAGAGAGATAGGCTTGAAGGAAGCTGCATTTTGTCATACAATTATCACATATCATCTCTTGAAATTCACCTCCTATTGGTGGGAGGCTTCCCAAGTGCTGAAAAACAATGCAGATATAAAACAGCCCAAATTAGGAGTTGAAGTACAGAACTAACCTATTTCCTTACTATATGATATCTACGTCATTTTTTGAACTAAGTTAGAGGTCCCATATGCTTCCAGCATCCAAGGAATTTTTTCATGCCAAATGGAGCATATCATTTCACTAATTATACCACAGGGCGCCCACACAAGTGGCGTGTCTGCTCGTTTGTTCGAAATAATATAAAGAAATGTATGGGAGGATATTGAAGAGTCGTAATATTGTACACTTATATCAAGGAATGTCTATGTTAAGGCTCAAAATAAATGTAAACCTACCTCATTCGCTGTGTATTGTCGTTTCTGTGGTTCTAAATGGCGAATTTGAGTGATTTGGTAGATTTTGTGTTGACTGTTACTTTATTGTATAAGAAGGAGACAAGGGTAGAAAGCTCATTTTCCACCACTCCAGCGCGAAGCCGATTTTCACCCAGAAATTAGAATCGCCTGCCTTCCAAATTGAACATCAGATAAACTAAAAGGTTGACGCTCCTCCTCGTGTCATTCAATCAAAGATCCATTCAAAATCAAAGCGCTAACCTCCAAAAAACTTTCGAGAAATGCAGCTTTCCAAGCGAACGGCATCCACGGCACAGATTTCGTGTGCCAAGGAGCAACCGTCAGGCTGTTTGCTCCACACTGATTGGATGATGGTAAACTAAATGCCGCTTTCAAATGTCTCATGTGAGAGGAGAGTCAGGGGCATATTCCCGCCGGCGATTCATCTACTGACTAGCCTGGTGTGAGGTTTATGGCGCGTCAGTAGATGAATCGCCAGCGCAAAACAGGGCATTGTTTACCATCATCCAATCAGCGTGAAGCAAACAGAGTGAAGGTTGCTCCCTGGCACACGAAATCTGTGCCACGTATGCCGATCGCTTAGAAAGCTGCATTTTTTGAAGGTTTTTGGCAGTCAGCGCTTGGATTTTAAATGGATCTTTGATTGAATGACATGAGAAGAAGCGTCAACCTTTTAGTTTATCTGATGTTTAATTTGGAAGCCGGACGATTCTAATTTCTGGGTGAAAATCAGCTTTGTGCTGGAGCGGTTGAAAATGAGTTTTCCACCCTTGTCCCCTTATACAATAAAGTAACAGTCAACGCAACATCTACCAAATCGCTGAAATTCACCATTTAGAACCACAGAAACAACAATACACAGCAAGTGAGGTAGGTTTACATTTATTTTGAGCCTTAACATAGACATTCCTTGATATAAGTTTACGATATTACAACTCTTCAATATTCTCCCATACATTTCTTCACATTTCGAACAAACGACCAGACACGCCACTTGTGTGGGCCCCCTGTGATTATACATTCAAACCTTTCCATAATTAAAACCTTATAAAACCAGTTACATTTTGCAGATTAATTAATTAAAGGTTTTTTGTTTTACCAAAACAAAGTCCAGGGTTCGTACACTTTTGACCTGTTAAAATTCCATGACTTTCCATGACTTTTTCCATGATCATTTAAAAGATTCCATGACAAGAAGGCAGTGTGAAAGAATGTTTGCAAACATCCTCACAATGTGCTCTTCTGTTTATTTCTAATGAAATTAAATCTGATTTTTGGACTCTCAGTTAACTTCTCAACTTTGGGTCTTATTGCCTTTCACTCGTAGAGAGCATATTGATTTCCCATGACTTTCCATGAACCACACCTAAATTTCATGACTTTCCAGGTTTTCCATGACCTGTACGAACTCTGAAGTCTTCTTGATTTTGCTTGACTGAAAGTTTTGCTAGGAACTAATACAGTAAACACCTGCATATCACACATGATTTTGGAGGTCAGGCTGATCAGTTTCTTATTTATTGGGTGCTTAGTGAAAAATCAGCCTGAAGGTGTTCTTAAATTGTTCTTAAATAATTTTGTTGGAATTCAGAACTGTAACAATGCAAAAAAATTAATGCTTAAGATTAAATTAGCATATTTGGAAAAGAAAATTAATAAATATCATGACATTATTGTAACAATTAGCCTGCAAAAGAAAATCAGCTTTATTACTAGTTAACTAGTGAACAGAACAAGAAAATACATCTAACATGAATGGCATGTAGTTCTAGGACAGTGTCATGGTATGCCCTGCCCTCTTGTACTTTATCTATATAAGTACAGTATATCCATGTCTTTAAAAGTGGTAATCCTTCAAACCCTGAGGAGTAATAAACTCATCACCAGAGCCATCGATTGTCAACAGGCAGCCTGTTTTCTCAAACAACCTTTTGAGAAACCCTTTGTTTTCTTTAAGCTCACACCACCCTTCTCCAGTCCACTGAGTCACAAAAATCCACCTGTCCTTAGCTGAAAGTTTGTCATGCCAATCTTTTATCAAGGTTGTCCTCTGTCTCTAGCCACCTGTCCATTGCACAAGAAATTTTAACTTTCATCATTCGTCCACACCCTGCATCAATGGGCTGGATTTTATCCGTGTGGTTCTCAGGCAGCATATATACAGTAGCATTAATTTCATTCCTGCATGCTTCGTGGAACTCTTTGGATTGTTGGAAACTGACATTGCCTGCAAAAATTACCTTCTCCTGTTCAGTATTTCCAACCTTAGGAAAAAGAGCTTTGCTGCACCATTGCATGTTAACTTCTTCATCCATCCAAGCATTTTGTTGAAAATAGACATCAACTCTTTCATCGTAGCTGTCTTTCTCCGCAGAGCTCACATTGCCTTCCCCTTTGAACACAAGAGCAGGCTTAACATTCTGGTCTCCTTCAGCCCTTATACAAAGTTGCAAGGTAGCATGCCTTTTATCTAGACCGGATGAAGGTTGTGAAACCCACACTTGCTTACTGCCAACTGTGTCATAAGTTGTCCCTTGATCGACTACAAATGGGAGAGGCACTTGGTCTACATTGTACCTGTTTCCAGGAGTCCATCTCCCATATTTAGGATCAATGGATGATTTGTTTCTTCTCCTATGTGTTTTAAGGGATTTCCTCAAGTTTTTATGGAACTTCTGAATGATTTCCCTTCCATCATCAGCACTATTCTTCTTCTTGTTGGTTCTTCTTCTAAGTACCAAACCTTGTCTTTTCTTAAAACCAGTTGTTTTCTTCCTTTGAAGCTGTCAGCTTCACTCTTTCCGTAACACATCTCTATTTTTGACTTCATTTTCTTCCTGAGCCAAAGTTTGGTGACCTTGCATCCAGCTGCTCTTCTAACTTTGAATTCAGCAATTAGTAGATTTGCTGTAAGTGGATACTTTTCATGTTGCTTCAATCTGTCAGACACTAATTTCTTTCTTTGCCTCACATCTCTTATGTTGCCAGAGTTTTTACCCTTTTTGTTTACTTCTAGTTCCTTGAATATCTGGCCTCTATTTTTGTTCCATTTTTGCACCAGAGACCGATGAACTCCTTTTTCCCTTGAGACTATCTTGCACTTATTTTTGGATGATGTCAAAGAATCCAAAAGATCAAGGGTTTTCTTTTTTAATTCAACTGTGTTGGATTTGTGCTTCTCACTACCTTTTCGCTTGTTTCCAAGACTTTCTTTGTTAACAACAATAGGATCATTAGGAACTTCTGGTGGGCTATCATCAAGCACTGAGCAACAAACATCTGCTTCTTTTAGATTAGCCGAAATATCTCTATGTTGTGGGCCTTCGTGGGAGTTCTCAGCCCTCGAGCTCGGGTGTTTAAATTTCATGTGACTGTCAAGATATTGTTGACCTTTGAACGCTTTACCACAGCAGCTACATTTAACATCATAGCTTTTGGACAGCGTAGCCGTCTTCTCCATCGTTCGTGTGATATCAAGCAAAGAACCATTCTTCAATTCAACTGATTTCCAAACGCTGCAATCAAACAAAGTTCGATTCATCTTTTCTCATTCATGAGATTCAGCTCTAATAAAAATGCAGTTTGTCAACACGAGGAACACTGTCGTCCAGTGGTCTCTTTGCTAAATTACCCAAAAGGCAATTCAAGCTCCGTTCAAGCTGTCAGCCATCTTGAATTCTTGGAATCACTATTGAAAATACGTTGATGAAAATCCTTTCTTCATCAGGATATGGCAAATGAATATAAACTTTATTTAGAGGCTAGTACAAGGGGCTATCATGCTTACTTCAAGGACGCCACAGTCTACATTGGGGAAATCCTTTTCTGCGAACTGGAGCCCAATAATCAGTTCAGTAAGATGCAGTTGCGGTAAAAAATGAAGATGACAGGATTGTTGGTCATGTCCCTGCTGAGCTTTCAAAAATCTTCAACAAGTTTTTATCAGAATATGGGAGAATTGGAGTGGAATGTATTGGGAACAGGTTCAACAAAGGCCGAGGAAATGGCCTAGAACTTCCCGTAGACTACCGAGTGGTTGGGAATGCTCGATATCTGAAGAAACTTCTTAAAAAATTACAGAAAATGTACTGTACACAAGACACTATATGTATTCTAATTTGCATGCATAAGGTTTTTATACTTTTATTTTTGAATGTCTTTTGCTTCACTGCTTTGTATTCTTGAAAAGAAACAATGGTCTTTAGCACATGAATGCAACTTATTTCCAGCATAATAGTGTATCATTAGCTACAGGAACTGCAGGTGCAAGGACTTGATGCTTATATCAAATTATATTATTTTGACAACATCGAGGTGTATTAAGAATAGCACAGTACTGCATGTCTCCCTACAAGTAACTAGATCATTTGAAGGGAAAAAAGCTCAAAACAAAATGCAAAACAGCATCACAGTTGTAGTTATCTGGCAGCAGGCCTTCTGTATGATCTGAAATTTGTCTTATCCATTTTATAAGAACATTTTATATTTCCACAAAACTCTGTTTTACTCACCCTTGAGTGGTACCAGTCCTCACAAATGATACACTGAATCATTTCATCTTCAATCTGCAAGTAACATTTATTACAATGAAATTTATTGCAATGAAGATTTTTTTGGCTAATAAAGTAACTTAAACCTGATCAAGAAAAATTAATCCTTCATACTGGTGTTACAAGCATTTATGGAAAAACAGGGTTGAAAATTCCAGCAGCCAGCAAATCAAAAAATTATGTTAATTGGAAACAAGACCATATGTGCAAGGTGTTAAGAGTCTGTCTTATCTCTCATGAGTATGTGTATGTTGCTCCAAATGAAGAAACTACCTTGTAGTACAAGTAGAAGGTTGGGGCAAAATAGAAAAACAGACAACGTACCCTTCCAACATGTACATCTTTTGAACCCTCTATAAGCACACTGAGTCAGTGACCTAGTGCAGGACATATTTCATATGGAATATATTTCTAGAATAACAGCATGAGCAAACTTAAGTATAAAGTTGTACAATGTACCTCATCCTCCAGATCAGGATATGGTCTTTGACAGGTGCAGTAAACTCCTCTGAAATTTTGATTATATTTGTTTATTGAATTCTCTGCGTCTTTTCCCTTTTTAGATAAGAAAGTGAAGAACAAGCATAACTCAAAAAACAATCACATAACATGTGTGCATGATTCTACATGTCAGTATGCAAATCCTGACAAACATTTTTGGATTTATTAAGTCACAATGATTGGAATACCAGTATGTCACATGTTACATTACAATCATGTATTTGACCTAAACATTTACTGTACACCATTCCCATCAGTACTTTCCACAAAAGCCCATCCTTTTGTCTTTTTGTCATCTTAATTTACATGTTACAATGACAGTATATAGAATATGACTTTGCTGTACAGTACACAAAATCATCAGTGGTGTAAAGTCAGTTGATTCCAAAGAAAGTGTATTTTCTATTATTGACCTCACAAAAAGATATATATGAACTTTCCACTAAACATGTAGCTTATCACATGGGTAACAAGGTAAATTTCATTTAATGACTGTGAATATATGAAAATCATCTATGTGAACTGTGGTTTTAAGAATTGAATAGGAAAAAAAATCTTTGCAGTAATGAACAGTACTTAAGCAGTGGTGAAAATAGGTCCTGAAAAAAATTCAGGCCTTCATGGGATTTGAATCCATGACCAGTCTGCGATACTAGTGCAGTGCTCTACCAAATGAGCTAACAAGCTAACTGGGAGCTAGTCATTACGTTGGTTCATAATAAACCTGTGAAGTAACGAATCAATGACAGTGAATATACAAAAACCATATCTATGTTGCTGTTTTAGGAAATGATTATGAAAGTGATCTTCACTGTAATGAGCACTACTCAAGCAGTAGTGTAACATTTTTTTCACTCAGAGTTTTCAAATAGTTGATGTTTTGTTTGCTTCTATAAAATGAGGGTCCTGGACAATCCCAGCTGGCTTATTTGATGGTGGACTTCTCAAATGACAGTCAAGGACTACTTGAATATTGATAAGTGATTTTTTATAAAATGTCTGTCCTGATTTCTTGCAGATAAGTAAACTTCTGAACACACTTATTTCAGGTAGCTCTCCAAATTATCCAAAATAGATGCACTTATAGAGGGATGAAGAACTCAGAAAAAACTATTTGCTTAATGTTAGCTTATATGTTCCTGGCAATGCAGTGAAGGTTAATGATCCATCAAGGGTTATTTTCCCAGTGATGTCGGTGCATCAAAGACTGATGCCATAGCAACACCCAATCATTTAGATAACCACTCTTCTTTTATTTTCCACCTATTTGCTGCCTTCCTTGAGTTACCACAAGAGGATTCAGAAAACTTGCAAACTTTTCTAGTTTCAATAAAAAAAAGATGGCATTGAACAGTAGGGATATCTACATATACTGGGTATATATTGAAAATTTCAAACCTCTGCAAATTTCAAAATAATCTCTAGTTTCCTTTGTTTGCACATTTGTAAGGTCATAAAATTTTGACTACAGCATGTAGATGCCTATGAATGTCTAGTAAGATCAGAAGTTCAAGGTGTTTTAACACCAGTAATGCATCTGTAATCGTAAACTAAAACTTACTGAGTACAACTTGCATGTGAACCCACCAAACTTCTCATTTCCACAGTCACAACGAAAATTTCTGGAAAAGATAAGGGTATTTCAGCTGGTCAGTTGTGATTGCAATTCAATTCATTAATTTTAAAATAATCATTACCTAACTTTTTTATGTCAAGTGACAACACGTAAAAGACTGGGCCCAAATTTTAGTTGAATCTATTGACACTGCACATTAGTGTAGTGATCCATGCCACTTTGAGTTGTTTTTTTTTTTTCATTAAGAGGTGTGAGAGAATAAAACAAAACAGTTGCGTTTATTAAAAGAAACTCTGCAATTGCTCCGACGAAGGGCTAACGCTCGAAACCTCAGCTTTTGTAATCGTTGCAGTGGCCAATTTACCATTTCAACTTTGTTGATATATTAATATATGATCTATGATATATGATATGTGATTAATATATGATGATTAATATATGATATATTAATTCGCTACTCCCACCGACGCAGCCCCAAACAGTTTCTTTTGAAACTATCAGCCTTTATTCATCTGCAATTGTGACTTTAGGATACTAATCTTCTATGGCCACAGAGACATTCCTGAAAAACTAACTTCTGAAAGCACAATAATTTCATGCTGCTTAAGATGACACCAGAGGTTAATTTGGTGAATTTTCGCCAATTTGAGAATAAAATATCTTGTGACAGATTAGTTGAAGTGACTTCCAATTTCCACATATGATTAATTTATATAGGTTTAAATATAATCTTGAGGGAAAAAATTATTTGGCTTGGTGTCATTAAATTTGTGGAATTTTATGGAAACAAGGGGTGTGTCCAAAAGGACATTTGGAGAAAAAGACAGTTCTCTAAATCCAAGCTAATTTAATTTTCTCCAAATGTCTAACACATGCACCAATTAAGATAAACAACCAAAAAGTTTTCACTGCAGTCCACCAAAAGATAATTATTTCAAAACACCACAAATATACAATTAAGTTATGTCAAATTAAGTTAAGTTTAGCTCCCCTAGGAATAAATGATTTTTTTGTGCCTAATAGTGTGTGATGCGGGTATTCTGATGTGCACTGTGTAAAAGTATTTGCTGCTTTTGGTAATTTTATTTAGTTATCTTAGATCAAGGAATATAAACTTTGTGTCCAAAACATGTGCTTAGTCCCTTTACTGCGCATGCACTAGACCATTGCACAAGCTTAGCTAATGTAACATCTCCACCCTAAGAAAGGCTAAACGGAAATCTAAGTTTCTAACAATAAGTAACAGCCAACAAAAGAAAAAAAGAGAAAAGAAAACAGAAACAACAAAAATAACAATAAAAACAGAGTTTATAAGTGTTTCTCTGAGTGTTTCTTCATCAGCCTTCGGACAGCAAAAGGAAGCTTATAAGTCTAGTTTAGATGGCTCCTTTACAATGCGGCCACTCCTGGTTGTCCTAGGCAACTTGTTACTGCCTTGGTTGGAAGGTAACGTTGACTTGGCAGGCGCCTTAGGTAATTCTGATGATGACGTCTGAAGAGGTAAGGGCTTTGTCTCATGGCTGTCCGGCAGTGTACTCTCCTGGTTGCTAATAACTTGTTCTCCACAGGTTGTTGGTGTTTTCTGGAAAGGTAAAGGCTTTAGCTGGACTCTGTTGCCTCTTAGCTCAGACCCACTCGTTGTCTTGACTATGTAGGACCTTGGTTTACTGGTCTCTTCCTTTACCTCTGCGGGAATCCATTCCTTGGTCTGTGGTTGGAACACGACTACTTGCTCGCCTTGATTTAGTCGTCGAAGCGTATGTGTCCCTTGGCGGTCGTACTTGTTTCTCTGGGTGTCCTGTCGATTTTGTAGTTGCTCTCTGTGGCTGTCAAAAGCTTGTGAACGTTGGAGGTGGCCACTGCATGGCAGTTGTGTACAGTAAGCTCTACGGTTCAGCAGGTGAGAAGGTGACGGTAAGTTGCTGTCTACAGGCATGGTCCAGTATGTCAGCAATGCTAAGTATGGGTCTTGTCCCGGGGCTTCTGCTTTTCGTAGAAGGTTCTTTACTGTCTGGACTGACCACTCTGCAAATTCTTGACTGTTGTACTGTGGGCCATTATCAGATATCAAGGTTTCTGGTACCCCATTTTCTGCAAATATTGACTTGAGGTGGTTAATGACAGCTGAAGATGTAGTGGAGCTCAGCTTTCTCACGATGGGGTACTTGCTGTAATAATCTGTTACCAACAGATATTGGGTGCCTTGGTAGTTGAACAAATCGGTGGCAAGTTTTTGCCAAGGAAAACTGGGTACACAGTGAGGGTGTAAGGGTTCCTTTGGCTGGCGTTTAGAAAACTGTATGCAAGTGGCGCAGTTGGAAGCCATTTCATTAATATCCTTTGAGATACCTGGCCAAAAAACACAGTCTCTAGCTTTCAAGTTACACTTTTCTACCCCCAGATGGCCTTGGTATCAGAAGACGATGTCCCTTCAAGATGAGGCCATTTTCAACACTTAGATCTTCTCTGAAGTTCCAAAACTCTTTCAGGCTAGCAGGGCATTCGTTTGGATATTCAGGCCACCCTTGATGAATGACATCCTTCAAATGGCTGAGCACATTATCTTGACTTGTGTGGTGTCGTATTTCATCCAGTTTAGCTGGGCTAGCGGGCAAGGTGTGGCTGATGGCATCGACTTCAAGTAGCGGTGTTTCTGAGTCCTCGTCGGGTGATTCCATGCAGCAGACTCTGGATAGGGCATCTGCTACAACGTTAGTTTTGCCTTGAATGTATTTAATTTCCACATTGTATTTGGACATCTTCAGGAGGAGCCTGTGGAGGCATGGTGATGCACTGGGTATGCTCTTCTTCCATATGCTTTCAAGCGGTTTGTGGTCTGTTTCGACAACCACTTTCTTACCAAAGACGTAGTGGCTGAGTCGCTCTAAGGACCAACAGGCAGCTAAAAGTTCTCTTTCAATGTTGCTGTATCGAGCTTCTGTATCGCTGAGTGATCGGCTTGCATAGCACACCGGTTTACCGTCTTGTATGAGTACACACCCAAGTCCTTTTAAGCTTGCATCTGACTGAATCACATTGTCTTTTTCTGGATTATAATAGGCCAGCACTGGTGCTTCGGTGATTATTTGTTTGAGGCTTTGAAATGCTTTGTGATGCTCTGGTTGCCATACAAAGGGTATGCCCTTCTTCATCAGTTGCCTCAGGGGCTCTGAGGTCTGGGTCATGATCGGCGAGAATCTGTTCAGGTAGTTGACCATCCCCATGAACATCTGCAATTTGGCTAGATTCTGTGGGGAAGGCATGTCTCTGATAGCCTTAATCTTGAGATCATCAGCTCTTAGACCATCTGGAGTCCACGTACACCCAAAAAAGGATGTTTGGTCTACTTTAAACTGAAACTTATCTGGGTTGAATTGTATGTTGTTCTCCCGTGCTGTGTCAAGGACATTCAGTATGTGCTGATTGTGCTCTGCTTCGCTCTTGCCATAAACAAAGGTATCGTCTGCTATACCACTCAGGCCATCGAGGTTTCCAAACACATTGTCCATTTTCTCTTGGAACACGTCTCCACTGCAGGTAAGTCCGAAAGGCAGCCTCTTCCATCTGTATTTGCCCCATGGAGTACTGAAAGTGCAAAGTTTGCTGCTTTCATCGTCCAGTTCAACTTGCCAAAATCTGCTTCGGGCATCAAGGATACTAAAGTGGGAGGTGCCACTGACCTCAACGGCAACGGCCCAATTAAGTTTCAGCAGATTCAGACTTTGGGCTGATATGTTACCAATGATGGGAGGCCCATCGACATCTACAACTTCCGCCTGGATTACTTTGGGTTTTGGGTTGTTAGGGCCCTTTACGTAACCCTGGGTATCACATCATCTATGGTTCTCACATAGTAAGGGGTGCGCTGAATGGCTTTATTGAGGTCACGGGGTCTACGCATAAGCGGATCTTATGACTACTGTTGAATTGACCCATGGTGTAAGGTTTTTAGACTCTACTCATCATGTATTTCTACTAAAATGCCTGCCTGTGTTAGCCGTAGAAGTTCTTCTCGGTAGGCACTTTGCAGGTGGACTGGAATCTGCCGTGGGGAATGTTGTACTGGAGGAATATACGACTTAGTTTCTATATGAATAAAGGCTGATAGTTTCGAAAGAAATACGTTTCACCCTCACAACCACTCAGTTAAATCCATCATTCTTAAAAACTTTAAATTACTTCAAAACGATCCAGAGACAGGCACTATCTTTTCGCAGCCTCCGCTCATTTCATTCAAACGCGACGAAAACTTAGGCAATTNTTGATTTGCTGTTACTTTCAACGGCAACGGCCCAATTAAGTTTCAGCAGATTCAGACTTTGGGCTGATATGTTACCAATGATGGGAGGCCCATCGACATCTACAACTTCTGCCTGGATTACTTTGGGTTTTGGGTTGTTAGGGCCCTTTACGTAAACTTGGCAGGAGCCCAAGTTCGGGATTTCAGTTCCACCATATGCTGTTAGCTTGGCGGTAGGTTTCTGTAGATTCATAACCCTAGGGGCAAGTTGATTGTACAAGGATGTGGGTATGATGTTGGTTTCTGCACCAGAGTCTATCTTACATAGGACGGGTGTCTGTTTTCCTGCTGGGCTCAGTGATAGGGAGACTTCCAAGAGGGCTTTCTCTTTAAAGGATGGACACTACTGGTTAGACACTACTGGTTTTAGAGCATGGACACTACTGGTTAAGGGTGTTACACCAACTGGGCCCAGAAATATGTGATCATTAGGGTCTGGTACAGACTCACTTGCACCATTACTTGTAGCTTCAATGTCATGCACATCTTTCTTTTTTAACTTTGACAGGCATACCTTAGCTAGGTGTCCTACTTTATGACAATAATGGCATGTTGCGTTCTTTGCTGGGCACTGATCTCTGGAATGAGGACCCCAGCCGCAATTCCTGCAAGCCTGGGATTTGCCTGAACTAGTGTTTTGTGGCTGATTTTTGAGGCCTTGGTATCCTTTAGGTGCATTGATGGAGCGTACTTCGGTATTCATTAACTGAAGCTGTTTTTCTGCTGACTCTTCTGACTTGGCCATCTCACGAGCTGTGTTAAACGTGAGAGCATTTCCAACCTTGAAACAGTCCTTACATATATGGTCAGATTTCATACCCAGTACAAGAACATCTCTAAGGAAACGATCGTTGTGTTCTGCTGGATAGTTGGCTTCCTTCACAAGAATTCTTAGTTTTGCAATAAATTCCTCTAGAGAGAGAGTACCTTGTCGAAGGTTATAAAGCTCCCACGCTGCTATTAACTCATTCAAGTGTGGTTTCAGGAAGTGCTCAAATCTTTCCCAGTAGTTGTCCAGCTTTTTTTGCTCGTCTGCAGACAGATGCCAGCTGTTGAACAGTTCGATACCTTGCTCTCCCGACCAGTACAACAAATGTTTACACTTGATTTCCTCGTCAATTTTAGCCATAGGCCCGGTGAAGAGCAATTCGCATCTTTGTTTCCACATTTTGAACTGGCTGTATAGGTTTTCGTCTGTACTCCAGTCAATTGACGGGCCTTTGTCGATGAAGGATGCAGTCACCATTTTGTTTGTTTCACTCGTTCGCTGAAGCTTTTAAGACTCACGCCAGTCACCTGAGCTAAATTGTTGTCCACATCAACAGTGAAAATCCTTTCTTTTCCAATCCTGCTCCTGACACCATGTAAAAGTATTTGCTGCTTTTGGTAATTTTATTTAGTTATCTTAGATCAAGGAATATAAACTTTGTGTCCAAAACATGTGCTTAGTCCCTTTACTGTGCATACGCTAGACCATTGGGTAAGCTTAGCTAATGTAACACACTGGGTTCGTCTTACAAGATCTTAGGTTATGGCCATGATCCAGAGCCTTGTCTAAAAAATGTTTACAAGGATGCGCTTCAGATTCTAGGACATGTTAAAATTCTTTCCTCGTCAAATTCTGATGCCTAGTTACAAGTGACTCAACAGTATCCCTAGGGAGTCCTATGACATTTAGACATCTGTTCTGCACTCTCTGCAGATCTTCTTCAAGGTAGATGGGCAGCCCTCCCCAGACAGGCGAGGCAAATTCTAACACAGGTCTAATCTAAGCGATATATGTTCCTAATGTCCCTGGGGAGATGGGTTGTTCTGCAGACCCTAAGAAGGTGGATCCATTTCCATGCTTTGCTGACAATACTTGAAACATGTGTATTCCACTTGAGATCGTTCTGTACATACACACCCAACAATTTGAGCCTCTCCAGTTCAGTAAGCCCAGTACTAATGCGAGGTGGAATACGACCGGACTTCTTAAACTTAGCAGCTACTTCAGACGATTCTGCCTGCTATTTTGACTGACATCTTACTACATTTTTTTAGTTAGGGGAGGTAGGTAGCATAGCTCTAGGACTGAAGAGAGTTTATTCATGAAACACAAAAACATTGTCTGAATTCTGGGTTATTGGTGATAATTCATTTTCCTTTACTCCGACCATTCTTTGTTGCCACATGTGCCCCCCTGCCTTACATGAACATCTGTTCAAAGTCCTTTTGAACTAATTGCAAAAATTACACAATACATGTGTCAAGTTATCTCATGTATCACTTGCTTGTGTAACCATACTGGTGCTAACATAATGTTCTTGTTCAAGCATTACTCTTCTCTAGTTGATTACAATAACAATTCTTTTCTAGAATGAAGGAATTTCTCCCTAGGAAGCCCAAATTTTAAAAAAATTTCCACCAGAGCATGTCTCTACACCCCCTTAGGAAGTCATACTTTCTGGAAAAGTTATTCATCCTCTCCCTCCTTACTTAACTATTGCCATCTATTCCGATTCTTACTGAGGAATGTTATGGTAAATTTTACTGCCTACCTTTTGGTGTAGAGCTCATACAAAACATGTCCATCATGGCAAGCCAGGGTACATGCCAGACATATTCCAGCTGGCTCGTTATCTGCTGGAGAACATGTTGAACAGGCATAAAGAGCTTGCCTCTTCACATACCCCTGCAAATGATATGAACATATATGTATGTAAGTTCTTTTGTTCATAATAAAGCCCCCTCAAAGGGTATGCACAAAGTCACACAAGAAGTTCATACAACGTATTTGTATTTAAGTGAGAGTGATTTGCAATTTTTCTTGTGATTACGGGGTAAACAGCCCTGCATTGCATTTCTCAAAACGGGTGTCTGTTCATCAAGACAGTTTAAACATAATTTAAAGGCTTCCTATGGGCAAATAGATGGATGCAACAGTATACAATAGGTAGGTAAGGTAGGGTAGGTAAATTTATTTCAATTCGAGATGTACAATGAGCCAGCAACTCGTACTAAATACATTCGAATATATAAAATTCTACATCTAAAGTTAACTAAAAATATACAGATACTATAATCAAACAACAAATATATATGAAATACATATATATGAACTGCGGTTATGAAACGTATATGTGCACGATCCTTCGCAGTAAAGCACTATTTAAGCAATAGTGAAAATCAGACCTGAAAAAAATTCAGGCCTGTACGGGATTCGAACCACTGACCTCTGCGATACTAGTGCAGTGCTCTACCAATTGAGCTAACAAGCCAACTGGGAGCAGGCCATCAAATTAATTCGACATAAACCCGTAGATGATAAATCAAACAACAAACATATGAAATACATATATATGAACTGCGGTTATGAAACGTATATGTGCACGATCCTTCGCAGTAAAGCACTATTTAAGCAATAGTGAAAATCAGACCTGAAAAAAATTCAGGCCTGTACGGGATTCGAACCACTGACCTCTGCGATACTAGTGCAG